TACTGTCATGATATCTGGCAATCGAACTCTACAAAGTTCTGTTCTGACCTCTACACACATGCTATGGCATAAGTGTGTCCCTCCGCATACACACACACACACACCACACACACAAGTACACAAAGCACTTAAATAAAATGCACCGGAAACCTTGAAAAAAAATACTTCATTTGGAAATGGGAATAGGAGCAACCTCTGAGCTTTGTGCTACTTAACTGCTTACTATCCTGTGCCTCACCCCTTCCTAGCTCCTAGATCTGTGTGATGTGATGGGTTTGAAAGCTTTGTGGTACCTTGGGCTGATAAAGAACATGTTCTGCATCAAGAGTCAGAGCTTAGGGACTGGGGAAGTAGAGCAGAGGTGACAGAGCTTTACACGAGGCCCTGGTTTGATCCTCAGCACCTCATAGCCCGCTGGACTAGCTCAGAATTAAAATGGATGATCGGAAGTTCAAGGTCATCCTCAGCTGCGTAGGAAGTTCCAGACTAGCCTGGGACGCGTGAAACACTTCATTGAGAGAAAGGAGGTAGAAGGGAGGTAGGGAGAGCACACCAAAGTGGAAGGGCACTTGCAGAATTGTCTCTCAGTTCTGTATTCTTGTTTTTAATTGTTGTTGAGAACTCCATCTGTATCGTTTCTGTCTTTCCCTTCCCACAACTCCTGTGTCTCCTCCCAGATTCATGATCTCTTGATCTCTTTCTTATTATTGCTGCATATATACATATAGTTATATATTATATACTACATATATAGATGTGTGCGTCCAAACATGTACATAATACCTACCAAGTCCATCTTTCATTGCTTTTTTGTACTTATGTCTAGGGCTGACCACTTGGGATTGTGGGTAGCATCATTTGGGTAGCACAAGTCACAATCTTCTGTGACTTCTACTTTTGAGTTTTCATGAGGCTTAATACAGTTATGTTTCAAATTTTAAACCTGGATCTTTGATGAATCTTTAAAATGATGATTATTAAAGCACTCAGCATATGGTTGAGATTTTAAAGTATTTTATTAATTGATCGAGTATCTCATAGACTGCTTGTCCTGTACTCAAGAAAAATATGGAAAAGCCCCTCTGATAGAAATTAAGAAGTAGGGCTGGGCCAACAAGATGGCTCAGCAGGTTAAGATGCTTGTCGCCAAGCCTAACGACCTGAGTTCAATTCCCAGAACCTTCATGATGGAAGTGGAGCTCCAACTCTCATCGGTTATCCTTTGACCATCTCAGACAAGCTGAAACACCCTTGCGCACGCGCGCGCACGCACACACACACACACACACACACGATGTTAATTATAGTAAACAAGAAGATAAATGGGGGAAAACAAAACGGATATCGCTCATAGTTTCTGAGCTCCTTCCAAACCTCTGAGTTAGAGGCTGATGCGTGAGGTCCGGGGACAGATTGTGTTCTGGGTCCACATTTCTCAGGAAAAGCCTTGGTTGCCTGGTGTGGCATCTCCTAGGGGTGTAACACCTGGTCTGGGAGAGCGGAAACAACTAGAACCTGACCCACTGCTCCTAGTTGCTGGGCAACTCAGGGAGGAACAGGAAGCTAAGAGGAAGGAGCTGGTCCCTTCTCTGACTTTTGCCCTCTAAGTCTCCTGAGGCAGAGTCATCTGACAAAGAAGAAATGTTGTTTGTGGAGTCTTGCCCTCCAGATATAAGGCAGTGAACACAGGGACAGATATAAGGCAGTAAGCTCAGAGACAGGAGTTGTTAGTTTGATAGCCAGTGTGGACATGACTCCCATATAGAGGTAGGGACTACACAACCAAAGCACGACTTGCAGAGGTAACTAAAAGTTTTGCTTTTTATTATGGTTAAAAAAAAAAAAAACTGCTGAGTGTGGTAGTGCCTGACTTTAATCCCAGAACTTGGGAGGCAAGGCAGGTGGATCTCTGTGAGTTCCAGGACAGCATGGTCCACAAAGTGAGTTCTGGGTCAGCCAAAGTTGTTACACAGAGAAACCTGTCTCAAACCAAACCAAACCAAACCAAACCAAACAAACAAACAAAAAAACCAAGCAAACAAAAAACTCCACAAAGCCTACTATTCTAACCATTTCTGAATACATGTTTCAGTGGCATTACGTACATTCGCATAACTCTGCAACCATAACCACCAAGAGAGGGGCTCCTTGCGTGAAAAGTTAGTGGAAAGTCTTTGCCCAGGCCTCTTTAACAGCAGCAAAGAATCATCCCCACAGATTCCACTCCTGGGGACATTAAGGTCACCTACACGTTCTGGTTGTCCAACGCTACACTTTGGCCCACTAACCCTCTAACAGTGAGAAGGCTCTGGTGAGAACGAAGGAGTCATTGTCTCAGCTTGTGACTGACTGCTCAGTGTGCGGAATTGGGAGCTGGAGCAGAGGGAAGCAAGCCTCAGATGACCCTGTAAACCTAGCAGACAAACATGTAGACTGTCTTGTTTAAAAGAACAAAGCAGAAGTGAATGGGCGCTCCCCTTCCCTCCCTCTCCCTCTCTTTCCTCCCTTCTGACCTCATTTTTATCTTTTTCTTTTCTTTCCATTTTTCTCCTTGCCACCCAGATTGCTGGACGACAACTGTGGACTCGGCATTATTGTCAGGTGTTTCTTGATTATAAGCTTGGCGCTGGTAAGTCAGAGGAGAGGAAAGCCTCGAAGCAAGGATGCTGAGCTTTCAGTGGTGTGGCATCCGTCATTCATGTCAAGTCCTCAATCTCAGAGAAATATCATCTTCTCCTGGTTAAGCAAATATCCCCTGGAGGTTTTCCTGGACTGTAAAATCCACAAGGAAAGGGGGCTCCTGACCTAGATAAGCGCGAACTTCGGACTGAAGGGGTGGAAAGGACTTGGGAAGACACAAGAGAGGCAAGTTGGGAGGAAGAACCAGCAAACTGTGATCCTTAGCAATCAGGTTTTCTATATTTTGTAAACACAAGGACTCTTTCTGAGCCAAGAGTACCATCGGCTTTGTGTTCTCAGAAAGAAACCCAGAGCACCTGCTTCGAAGCTAATTGAATTATAAAATATATTTTGTGAGAATTCCTAGCACAACCTTATATTTGCCCCTCAATTTTACTCTATAAAATTAAGAGTATCTGTGCATTCATTGGTTTCTAGTTAGGCACCATGATCTTCATTTAAAATCTCTTTGTAGATCAATTCCCTGTCCCCTGTCCCCTGGCCTGCATGACCATTTATCCTGACAGCAAAGTGGGCGCACGATGAATGATTGCGTCTGGTCTTGCTGTTCAGAACATCCTAGTCATCTCCTCGTGGGCTGCCGTTGTGAGCTCTGATCCTTTGATCTCCATACAGGCTGCAAGCTAGTTTTGTCAAATTGACACCAGCAGAGATTGCCTCGGGGAAGCTGGTCTCTCTATGTCCATTCCCCTTAAACTTCATATTTGATTTTCCTGTTCTTTTCTGGCATTTTTTTCTAATCTGTGAAATCGGAATGAATTACCATCTAGTTACCACGAAGAAGACCAAGCCATCGCCTGCAGAGGAGCAACCTGTTAAAGGGGCCTGTGTTGGAACTCTCGGTGCTGTGCGTGCGTGAGTGTGTGTGTGTGTGTGTGTGTGTCCCCGCATCATCCTCCCATAACTTCACATGTTCACTTTCCCCACCTGGAGATTATTAGACTCACTTTGTTTGTAAGAATAATATTCCACTCAAAATCAAAGTCCATTAAGACACAGAATCCTTGAAATTTTTGAAGGAAAGAATGAAATTTTCTCGGAGACATGTTGGATCTGTTTTCCTCAAGGAAAAAAAAAATAACCATTTTATTTTTGTCCCTTCCCTTCCATACACTGTTTCTACAGAGATGCCTGGCAGGCTCTGTAATCATAGAGGGGGCCGTATTCTCTCAGGGCCATGCATTTTGCTGTTTCGGAGCCCAGCTTCCTAGGCTCTTGCATTCCTTCCCTTTCGGTCTTCACTGTGGATCTCAGGAGTTTCCGCCTTCACTGCAGATCTTGGGAGTTTCCATGGAGAATTCTGCGCACGAATGGGACTGTTTCGCTGGTCCCATTACTTAAGAGTCACAGAGTTTGTGTCACTCTAAGGTGCAGAAGCAACTTTTGCTATCTGTGCTTTTTCCCTCAGCCACTCCGTCCTTGTTCTCACCTTTTGTGCCCAGCCATTATTCTTGGCTGATCTCTATCAGAACAGAGTCTAGACAGTGGGAAACTGCATCCTTACACACCTTCATCCTCTCTTCTCGTGGCTTCCCGTGCAATTCTTGCTTAGTATGTGCGCCCTCATGTTTCCTACACTGAACTGTCCAGCACTCTAGTAGAGGTGACTAGCTGACATGTGTGACAGGGAAGTGTTAGTGGCCTTGGCGTCACCACCTCATTCCTTTCACTCTGCACGGTCATCTCTGCCTGAATGTATTTCTGACTGCCAAGTGCTAGGATAATGTTTTGGGGTTTTGGTGGTGGTGGTAGTGGCAGTGTTTTGGTTTTTTCATGATCTCTAATCCAGTTCACTTTCCCAAGATTCATGCACTTTACTTCTCCTTCAGATACCACAAGAAGCCCTTGTTCAGGCCTGAACACCCCTCCCACCTCCTCTTCATCCCCTCTGACGCCAGATCATAGCATAGCATCATCCACTAGGTCTATTAGATCCACCGTCCAGTAGATCACAACATCTAAGGGCCCTGAACAGGAGCAGGATCTGTTTAATCTTTATCCTTGGAGCTTTATCTGTACCAGGAAGAATATTGACCTTGAAAATACTCCATTATTTTCTGTGCAGTTTTAACTCTGTAAAGAAAATCCTTGAACCCTAAAACTGTCATTGCTCTGTGGTTTAAAGTGCTGACTCCCTTCTAGGACAGCTCGCTCACATGCTATACCCCCGAAATTACAGAAGGTCTTGTCTTAGAAGATGGCTTCCCACTAGCCGAGAGAAGAAGAGACAGTAGTAAGTAGCAGGTTTGATATTCTTATTTTGTAAAGTGGCTTGTTTTTTGTTTGTTTTTTCCTTGTAGGGCCTGGACTCCCTTCAGAGACTCACACGCAGTGGTGAGTCCCGCGAAGGGCAAAGGATGATACCTACTGACCTCACTCCCGCCCCTTTCGTGTATGTAACATATTGAGAGAGTCGTGAGGAACAACAAGGAGAAACTGCCATGATTTATCAAGACAAGAAGTAATCCTCGGGCATCACAAGATGATTCAGGTTAGTAACTCCCCAGTCTTACTGTAATTCCGATACAATGAGAGGGGTTTAGTGGTGTGCATATGATTAAACCTAATGAGTCCCGGTTCTCCTTGTTTAAAATGTGTGGTGATATGTTGGAACGTAGATTGAAGCTTCATTTTTTTTTTTTTTGCACTGCGTAGGGGAGGGGGAACATTTGAAAAGAGTGTACTGAATGAATAAAAGCTATATACATTTTTGGCATTTAATAGTGATTTTCTAAGATATAAGCATATATATGCATATATGTGAGTGTGTGTGTGTGTGTGTGTGTGTGTTTTGAGACAAGCTTTCTCTGTGTAGCCCTAGTTGTCCTGGGAGTGGCTTTGTAGACCAGCTTGGTCCAGTATGGTAATACTAAAAGATGCTATAGGAAAACTGGTCCAGTCTTGGCAAGAATAGAAGTTCCAATCTCCCTTTTTTAATCTTTTAATTCATGGAGGAAGAAAATGACAAACAATAGCCAGCAAGCTAGGAATGTCATAAATGCCTTGCTCTATTGGAGAAAGAAGAGCTCCTGGGGATAGAACTAAGCCTTCCCAGAGTTCCTTAGACCTTTATGGGTCAAGGGCAATGTCTATCTCCTTGATGACCCAGCAGGGAGACCTTGACCCTGGGAGCATTTTCAGCTCTTCTGAGTACTTTTACCCAGTGACCTTTAGGAGTGTAAAACTTGGGTAAAAGAAAGCAAACCTTTCATTTTGTTTTGTTGATGGTCTCGTCATATACCCAGAGTTTGTCTTTGAAACTGTGCCTGTTGTTGTTTGCTCTTCTTTTCAGCCCAGGAGTTTGACATTCCAAAAGTTCCTCATGGCGGGGACAGTGGGAGCTTTGACCGCAGAGGGAGATAAAAGAGTTTGGGTTGAGGAATATGCTCGGGACCTTAGTTGATTGTGTAGTTTTCTCTGTGGCTGCATCCATCAAGATTTAGCAGATTAGGTTGTGGTGGTTTGAATAAAAATGACCCCTATATGACTCCCTATAGTGGGAGGTCCTTCTATGTGTTGCTTTTATTGGTTAATGAATAAAGAAGCTGCTTTGGGCCTGTTGATAGGACAAAACTTAGGTAAGCAGGGAAGACTAAGCTGAATGCTGGGAGAAAGAAGAGTGGAGTCAGAGAGAAGTCATGTAGCCCCGCTGGAGCCAGGCAGAACTTTAGCTGATAAACCACAACCACATGGCAACACACAGATTAATAGAAATGTATTAAATTAATATATAAGAATTAACCAATCAGAAGCTAGAACAGGCCAAACAGTGAGGAACTAACTAGCAGCCTACTTGCTACACCCATAGCCTCGTAGGAAGTGGTACTATTAGGAGGAGTGGCCTTGTTGGAGGAAGTGGGTCACTAGGGGGTGGGCTTCGAGGGCTCTGATGCCTATCAGTTCAGATGCAGAAGTCTCAGCAACTATCCAACACTGTGTCTGCCTACATACAGCCATTCTTCCTGCCATGATGATAAAGGGCCAAACCTCTGAAACTGTAAGCCAGCTCTAGTTAAAGGCTTTCCTTTATAAGAGTTGCTGTGATCATAGTGTCTCTTACAGCAATAGAAACCCTAAGACAGGTACTTTCACTATGCACAGGCTGTTGCCTATCAGCCATGCCTAGATCAAACTGTTTTAAAATTCAGAAATTAAAGAGAAATATCATTGAATTGTCAAATTTCATTATTCATTTCCTTATTAAACATATTTTAGGCTGTTCTGTGTAGGTCAGAGGTAGGGTGTAAGTAAATATGAGTGGGAATGGGTGGTTCCTATTATAAGTGAGACCCTGGGTTCTATTGGCATGACCAACGCATACACATGCACATGCTCACTCACACATATGCTCACTCACGCACACATACATGCACACACACACACACACACACACAGAGTTGGGACTGAAGGAGTTAGGGTTGTGCTATCTCAAAGCCAAATTGCTGTGTGGTCTATTTCACACTGACGTCACTGTAACTTCAGAAAGGCCCATTTGATTGTTTTTTCCTGCATGCAGCAAGACACACACAGACTGTTTTGGAAGGAATGTCCTCTGTTTGCTAAGGCTGAACAGCAGTCTTGTCAGCACAGATTCATGACTGGTGCTCCAGCAAAATCTGTACAAAGTCTTTGAAGGAACCCTCACCTTCCACAAGCAGCCTCCCAACCACCCACCCATTCACACTTCCTGGTAACAACTCTGGCCATGACTCCCCTGGTCCATTATTCCATCAGTCTTTGTGTTCTTTCCCATGTTTATTGCTCTTTGTCTAAAAATATCGTGAAGATCCCTTTGAATGTGCAAAATTAATAAAACTTTCCTTATAGAGACTTGGGAAAGAGATCCAGCAAATTGCACACTGATTAAAAATTTTCTGCTCAGAAGTAATCCTCATCTTGTCTGATCATAATTGACACCCACAGACAGTCACGTGGCTCTGCCTGCTAGAGAGGGTGAAGTGTTTAATCCAAACACTTGTGATTTCTTAATGAGGACCCTGCTGCTAGAAGCAGGAATTGCTAATGTCCTTCTCCCTGGTCCCCAGCCAGGCACCTGCTCTGTTAATTTCCCATCATTTCTTCTGCTCTCTTTCAAGCTCTTAAGAATAAAAGATGCAAATGAAAGAAAGCCAAAGCCCAAAAAGCACTGGTGTCAAAAGTCACTGGATTAGGGATGCCTGAGGGTGATAAGATCAGAAACTCAACAAGCTTCAATTGAGGAGGCTTCCACTCTGCCCTGGGAAGGTTAAGATTAGTTTCCGGGACCCCAGGAACACAGACCGCAGAGATTGGCTTCCTGTTACTCCCAATCTCTCCTCTCTTCCCTCCTCTCTGCTTGCCTCTCCTGACCTCATTCCTTCTACTCTGAGATGGGGCTTTTCCATATGGCAGGAAACATGAAGCCAACAGCTTGACCTTTTCATTTTTCCAACTCTGACGTCAGAGGCAAAGCCACATCCTGTTGAGCAGCACCACACTGAGATACCAGCAGAAGGATCCATTTGATCCTGTCTCACCTGCTCACCCTGGGCAGTGACTATGTCCAGGGATGTGGGCTACATGCACAGCTACAGCCACATCACAAGGCCATCCAAACAGTGCAAGACACAAGTTCTCAGAAGGACGGGCAAACTGAAACAATGATTACTCTGTGTTGAGTTAGATACGCCTAGAATGCTGTTTTAAAACAGGCAATGCAATCCTGTTATCCTCCCAAGTCACCGACTTAAAACCACTTCCCATTGCATTTAGAAGAAAATCTGAATTAGTTCTGAGTTTCAATACATGGCTTCTTTTTATTTTATTTTGGTTTTTTGAGACAGGGTTTCTCTGTGTAACAGTTTTGGCTGTCCCAGAACTTATTTTGTAGACCAGGCTGGCCTCGAACTCTCAGAGTTCCTCCTGCCTCTGCCTCCCAAGGGCTAGGATTAAAGGCCTGTGCCACCACTGCCCAGCCAACACATAGCATCTTATGAATTCTCCCTCTCTCTGCTGACTCACCAATGAATATCATATGGACCTTGCTTTGCTCCCCAAACATGTTCGGCCTAAAGGACACTTAAACTAGGCATCTGCCTTACAGTTGCTTGCTTTCTTGTCATGATTGACACACACACACACACACACATCAACAAAACCAACAATAGCAAACAACTATAAAGTTATCACCACTATCAAGACATGAAATATTTCCATCACTCTTGGAATAAGTAACAGTTGTTGTAGTAGGAGCCCACTTGTTTGTTCCATGCCACTTGGCAGCTCAGACCCGAAACAATCACATAGAAACTATATTATTTAAAACACTGATAGGCCAATGACTCTAGCATATTTCTGGCTAACTCATATCTTAAATCAACCCATCTACATTAATTTGTGTATCACCACGAGGCTGTCTGTGGCTTACTGGGTAAAGTTCTGGGTCTGTCTCTGGCTACAAGGCTTCTCTTTGACTCCACCTCTTTTCTTCCAGCATTCAGTTTAGTTTTCACTACCTACCTCTGTTCTGCCCTGCACAGGCCTAAGATAGTTTTTTTTTTAATTAACCAATGCTATTCACAGCATACAGAGGGGAATTCCACATCAAACAATCTCAATTTTTTTAGTGTTGCCCTGTTTTACTTTTATAATTACAAAACATTATATATATATATATATATATTTCAATTACTGTTTTACCTACATGTATGTCTGTGGAGGGTGTCAGATCCCCTGGAACTAGAGTTACAGAAAGGCATAAACTGCCATGTAGGTGCTAGGAATTGAACCCAGGTCCTCTGGAAGAGCAGTCAGTGCTCTTAACCACTGAGCCATCACTCCAGCTCCTAGAAAACACATTTTATATATTCAGAGTTTTAAAAACAAAACCAAAAGACAGGAAAGGAACTCTGGAGCATTAGCAGGGTATGGATAACTGATGGAAGCCAGGAGCCAGGAGCCAGCAGCAGCCCAGACTGGGTTTCTCTGGATCAGAAAGGGAGAGTCACATGTGACAGGGCTTAGGAAAAACTGGGAAGTATTAAAAAAGCAAGCAGCAGTGTGGTATGGACACAGCTTCTGAGACCTAAGGTTGGAGCATGGGTCACTGAGGAGATCTGATGGGGTTTGTGGTCAAAGGAAGAGGCAGCAGGCCGTGTCAACATCTGGGTGGTGTGAGCTGTGTGGTGGTGTGAGCTGCATGGTGGTGTGAGCTACATGGTGGTGTGAGCTACATGGTGGTGTGAGCTACATAGTGTGAGCTACATGGTGGTGTGAACTGCATGGTGGTGTGAGCTGCATGGTGGTGTGAGCCAAAGTACACTTTTACTCTTTTTAAGCTGGCCAGGTCGGGTATTTTGTCATGGTGAAGCTAATTCGTCTATTGGCTTTTGCTTTTTTTTTTTTTTTGCCATCATATTTGTTATTCTTTTTTTCTTTTTTTATTGTTTTTATAGCACTATACATTTTTCTCCCCTCTCCTCCCTTCTTCCTCTCTCCCCTTCTGCCCCCATGCTCCCAGTTTACTCAGGAGATCTTGTCTTTTTCTCGTTCCTATGTAGATCCATGTATGTCTCTCCTTGGGCCCTCTTTGTTACCTAGGTTCTCTGGGGTTGTGGATTGTTTGATTTTTTCTTTCTTTCTTTTTTTTTTTTTTTTTGTTTCTGCAAGGGTTACATTGTTTTATAGACTGCTTAACTAGTAACAGTAGCTGTTAGTATCCCTGAACATTCCTTCCTTGAAGTGTAAAACAATCATTTCTAAATGTTCTGTCCTTTAAAAAGTAACAATTTAATCCTCTGGTTTTCCTTCATATCACATAAAAAGAAGGAATTTGCCTGTCCTAGGGTCATGAGAAACCCAATGGGCTGTAGGGAAGAATACCTTAAGGCTAGCGAGAACGCACTTGAAGTTCCAGGTTGGGAACTGAAGAACTTCAGGACTTAGGCCAACACTTGGCAGTGACAGTTGTCTTGGCGTCAAGTGGCTCTGAGGCAACAGTCCAGACCTGACAGGGGAGCTAGAAGTAGGTCATAGAGTAGGCTGTCCCCTCTTCCTGCTCTTTTCCCTCCAGTCTCTATGAAACACCACAGTCTCTCATACTGTGTAAGTCCTACCGCTACTTTATTTATTTATTGCTGAACAGTATTTCTCTTGTTTTATTTACATGTGCACATTCAAACTGGACTCCAGCAATCCAGAAGCACCTGTGCTCACGTGATGCCCTAGGACTCCAAAAATCCAGACATACTTGTGCTCACGTGATCCCCTAAATCCTTTGGTTCAGATTCTCAGGGCTGAGCCAGCTCCACCCATGATCTTTTTCTCTGTGGGGCTGTTTCTCACCCTGAGTCCAGTCAGCACAGCAGAGAAGATTGCCGGTGATGACAGGGATGCTCTGTTCTCTTCTGTACTCTGTCCAGAACCTACAGTCACAGGGGTCACGACTGACAATAACATGGGTGAAAGGGGGTACTCCAGAAGGACTTCTTTTGTTTTGGGGACTCCCTTGAAGTGGAAATCTCTGGGGCAGCACTTCTCCCAACTAGTTTGTCCAGAACATTATTCTCTCAAAAGATGAGAAACAAAGAAAGAAGAGCATAGGTCCGACGATTTTGAGAAATGAAGATTTTACAGACCAACTGGGACATTTTTCTGAAACCCATGGCATGCGGGTGAGCCTTTACGTCTCAAAGGGGAGATAGAAGCATGGGGCTTTGACCATTTCCCTTTGATCTGGAATCTTTTGCAGGTTTGGAATTTAGTGACACACAGGGCAGGAAGCCTGGCTAGGCTCATTTCTGTGTCCTCTGCTTCCCCTAGAATCCACTGCCGGTGTCCCCCTCTAGTCTTAATATGTTAATCAGCTACCAAAGTCAACAGGAACTTGCTTATTTTGGCACACATAAAATTCTGATAGAAATTAGTATAAGAACCTCAAAGACACAGAATTTCAAGTGTCACATCTGCAATCAATAATTGACTCTACCGCATCGAAACCTTGAGTGTGATGTGATTAAAAAAAAAAAAAAAACCAGAATGGATTCACCCAGCTCACTCATTTAAAGACAGCAGTCTTCAGGGTTACTTGTTTTTGGTAGAAGCCAGGTAATTTGGGTAAGAGCTCAGAGAAAGGTCTCCAAGGGATGCTAAACAATCTGCACTTAAACTAGAGACTTCTCCCATTTTTGGTATTTTATCTTTCACCATTTTTTTTTAAAAAAAACTTCTCTAGTACATTGCATCCCGACCACAGTTTCCCCTCCCTCTGCTCCTCCTCCATTTCCCTTAAAAAGAAAAAAAGAAAAAAGAAAAAAAAAAAAACAGGCCTCCCAGGGATATCAAAGCAACAGGGCAGAACAAGTTACAGTAAGATTGGGTACAACCTTCCCATCAAGGCTGGATGAGGCAACCCAGTAGGAGGAAAGGGGTCCCAAGCACAGGCGAGAGAGGCAGAGACACCCCCACTACCAAAGAACACCAATCTAATAGCCATAATGTGTATGCACAGGACCCGTAGCTAGGTCAGCCCTAGACAGGTTCCCCGATTGTAGGTTCAGTCTCTGAGGCCTGCTCAGTTGATTTGCGTGGTAACTGGAGCCAACTTTAAGTAGGCGCATATTTGCCACTTACACTTTGCCGCATTGTACTCGCCAGTGTCGTTTGTTCTGAGTGTCTCCAAAATAGATGGGCCCGATTGATTCCCTAAAAGGAGTGTGGCAGTCAAATAGACAGATTGCTGGGATGGAGATTTCGACTTAAAAGAAAAGTCAGCAGGGGCTGGAGAGATGGCTCAGTAGGTAAAGAGCCTGCTGCACAGGCACGTAGAAGAACAGGAGTTCGGGCCCTCAGCACCCATATAAATGCCAGTGTGCATGCAGTCAGGTAGGCCTGCAGCCCAGTGCTTGGGAGGTTGAGGTGAGGGATCCCTGGAGCAAGCCGGTTGTGTTCCAAGTGCTGAGGATTCAGCATTAAATGTGACAAAGCCTCCTCACTAGGACCCTCCAGGTAGGGAGGGAGGTCTGTCCAAATGACTATTACGGTGTCACTTGAGTGAAGTCATGTTTGTTTGTTTGTTTGTTTTGGTTTTTCGAGACAGGGTTTCTCTGCGGCTTTGGAGCCTGTCCTGGAACTAGCTCTTGTAGACCAGGCTGGCCTCGAACTCACAGAGATCCGCCCGCCTCTGCCTCCCGAGTGCTGGGATTAAAGGCGTGCGCCTGGCCCAAATAACTATTATGGAACTGTGGGCAGCATGCAGTAGACACAAGAAATCTAAGAGGTACCCACGGGATCAAATGGTCTTCTAAGTTATTGAAAATATTTTCATATTGATTGGTAAAAGCCACTCTCTGAACCCCTAGCCACTTCTCTTGCGTGTTCCTCGTTTTCATACCATGGTAGAATAAAAGAGCAAGCGTTCAGTAGCAAAGGCCTGGCTGCGGCTCTTCTTCTCTCATCCCTCCCACTGGCCCTTATCCTCCTTGGAGGTGGGGATGCCTGTGCTAGGAGAAGGTCAGGATCTGCCCAGCTCCTGTTTGCCCTGGAGTGTGTGACATCTGGGAGGCCCTAGGCTGCGGCTTATTACAGGTGATAAGTGAACCTTAAGAGGTAAGTTGAGTTCTGATCACAAAAGGCAATGCAAGGTCTCCTGAGCCAGATGAACTTAACTGGACCACTGCAAAGACCTTTGAAGATGCCTGAGGTGGAAAGCAACATGACTGAATGAACATTTCAACTAAGTAGTGTGAGTGGTTATTATCCCGAAATAAATAAATAAATAAATAAATAAATAAATAAATAAATAAATTGAAGTGCTAGAAAATCTGTTTGCAGCCTGTTGAAATAGCTCAGGTCAAGAGCTATTTACTCCAAGATCAGATTAACACCGGGGCTTGTTCACCATTGGCCAAAGACAAGAGCTGTTTACTCAAGAAGAACCAATGAACATAGAGAAATTATTGTAATCCAAGGACGTTAAAAGGGTAGAATTCATAAACCCACCCCCGTGTGTGCGTGCATGCGTTCGTGAGTGTGTGTGTGTGTCTAGGCCAGAGGTCATCCTCAGGTGTGCATCCCTCAAGTGCTCTCTTTGCCAGTTAGGCTAGGCTGATGGGCTAGGGAGCCCCAAGGGTCCGACCATCTCCAGCTAAGTACTTTACCAAGTGAGCCATCTTCCCAACCTCTCATGGCTTCTTGATTGGCGTGATACCTTCCTGTTACAAAATTTAAGGTCCACCTAGCATTAGATAGAATTTCATTCAAATGAAACCTTTTGGTACTAACATTGGCCATGCTTCCAAAGTGAAGCATTGATCCTATGTGGAAACTTAACCTATCCCCAAATCATTGGTTTCTGAAAGTGGGCGGATAAACACCATGCACTTATTAAGGTTTTGGTGTTGATACTGAGGCTTCAATGCAGGTTTCGTTGCACTATAAGGAAGCACAAAGACCAGCCAACCTTTTGCAGTTGTAGGCTCGAATACCAGGAAGTCTATGCCCCCCTCTATCTGTGTCTGGTTCATATCCTTACCTGCCTGCCTTCTGTTGCCCCCGCTTTCCCTAGGATGGATCCTGAAGCTGCCCAGCTAGAGAAACGGCACGTACATGATGTGTATGAGAGCACCGCCCCCTACTTCAGCGAGCTGCAGAGCAAAGCTTGGCCGCGAGTCCGCCAGTTCCTGCAGGACCAGAAACCAGGCAGCCTCATCGCTGACATTGGTAACCCAGACTTTTGTTTTGCCATGCGTGGTCTGATGCATGCCCAGTTGCCCCATCCCTGTCGTTCATACCTTATTTTCATTCTAACAAGAAACGTGATGTGATGTTGTAGCGTGCTAGTCTATAGAATATTCACTTTATCCCAAATGTTCTTATCATCAAAGTCATCAAGCCGGAAACATCCCCCAACCTATATTCAGAGGAAGCAGTGACCCATTCTGGGCCCTTATGCGGATCTTCCATAAAAATCAATCATCACAGATGGAATAAATAAGGATGGAAATGATGCAACTTTGGCCAGTTTTGGTTTAGAGACTTTCACACGTGTAAGATGTGTTTTGTATACTTGGCTTATCTTGAGCCGTGACATCCACGTCTATGAAAGAGCCAGACTTGTGAGATCATGAATGGAGTCTTAGACCCTTTCATTATTCCGATGGGTCCTTCCCCTTATTTGTAGGCATGGAATTGCTAGGGCATATCTTTAACTAGGTAGCACTCCCATAATCACTGCTTTATCTGGAGGACTTCAGCTCAGCCTCTTTCTGAACTGAGGAGCGGTAAACCACAACTTAGTCTAAGACGATGATTTAAGGTGCGGTTGGATTTCTGCTTCCCACTAACTCCGCTTTCCAGGAATCACAAGCCTGCTGTGCACAGAAGAATCACAAGTCTATAGTTAACTCCTTCTTAGCCTAGGTTGACAGCTCCCTGAATAGTGATGTGTGTGCAGAGCATTTGACAAAGGGTGTATTGACAGAGGGTATAAGCAGTTCACAGTCTAGGAAGAGGGGTGTACCATGCTGAAGTTGGGGGTCTGAAAAAAATATCTCTAGTGTGTTAGTTTTTTTTTTTTTTTTTTTTTTTTTTTTTTTAAAAATATGGTATCCTGGGCTTGGACATATGGTTCAGGGGTAGCAGGCATCTCTCCATGTTCAGAGCCCTAGGTTCAAATCCCAGTACCACAAAGGGGAACAGTACCTGGTTTTAGAGAATGAAGTGAGTTCAGAGCCCCTACTGTCCACTGTCCATGCAAAGCACAGGACTCTGATATGGGTGGGGAGAAAAGGGGCGATTCACCCAGGAGGCTTAGGATAGCAGTATAACAAGATGGTGCTGTTATTATGTCTTACCTGATAAGACATTCTAGGATGAAGCAAAGGTTTAAGTGTAAAAAAATGAAATTGTTTTTTAAGTAGTCCTGAGACAAAAGGCCTCTCTATGTCTTAAGAGTTCTTTTGTATGTGTTTTTTTTTTTTTTAAAAAAAAGGGGGGTGGGAAGCTATAAAAGAATGAATTGATTGTCGTTATTTGTGCTGTGTTCTAAATGTACTGTGAACATTGGATCGGTGAGCATTGACTCACTGTTGCAAGGAAACATCTGGAGAGGTTCAGATACACATCAATCACACGTTTTTGCCAGTTTGCCGTGTTTCTCCATGTTTCTGTTAAAAAATGTCTTGTTCACTGCATATTTCTGATGTGTTCATATCAGACTCTCAGCCAGTGCGTTACATCCCTGCTTCAACAAAGCCTTGTCTCGCATATTCTGCCCACAGGCACTGCATCTGTCGGTGAACTATCTGTGAACCCAAGAATGCTGCAGGGAGAAGGGGTGCATTTGCACAAAGCAAACACACACACACACACGCGCACAAAGTGCAAACTCTTGAGCGTGAAATAAGTTGTGAGAAAGACACTTACATATAGTGTTAGCTGACATAGAGTCTAGCTAGTCAAGAGTAAAAAAGAATTTTTTTTTTAATTTTGGCTTTATTAAAATAGCGATGCAGGAGATACCAAATTCCAGTAGCTGTGAGAATGTGCTCTGGGGTCTTACAAAAGTATCGTTGGTGTAACTAAAACTGCCGGGAAGTTGCCAATTTTACCTCTGTTTGCTGGACCTTGTGGCAGATACAGCAAGAGTTCACAAGAAAGGAATTAGGCCCAGTCTGTCTCTGGGCAGTTTAGTGGGAGAGAGGAAGGTGTGGTTTTACAAATGTTTACAAAGCTGCCAGGTGTCCTCCCAGAAAATCTCAGTTGGCACCAACCAGATCGTGAGGTTGCCATGAGCCTGGGTGGGGACCAGGGAGTTCGGTTCAGAAGTTCGCCTGTCATAAAGCCTGACACACGGATGGCTCCGCAGGGCCCGGCAACTCTTTTAAGTGTCCAGAACCAATGGCTCCAGTTGGATTTTCTTCACTGACAATACCATGGGAGCCGCAGCTACTCAGACATTTTTGTTGTCATGCAGTGCATGCCTGGATGACCCTGCCGGGGGCGTGCAGGCTGATTTTAGGGCTAGGAATAGAGTTTAGCAGCTCGATGAACAGCAAATACGGAACCAGCCAGGAATGTACAACGATCGTACTAATAACTGTGATCCCATAAAGTTAAAAAGGATGTAAGAGGAAAACCCAGGTGAATATACAAAGTCTAAAGATCAAAAAGCAAAAGAAGTACTATATCTGCACTACTTGTAATAGAAGTGTGCAGAAATGTAACTCGCATGCACAGAGAATGTGCCAGGGTGACAACTCCAAACCAACTGCTGGGATGATGGAGGAATATGCTAACGTGACCTCTCACCGTGACCCTGTCCACAGGCAGAATGTGGAAGAAAGGAGATTTTCTTACTCTCCAGAATATTTTTCAAAATTAGTATAAAGCCCCGAATCCTATCCTTTGCAACATGTGTGAACACAGAAGGCGTTCTGCTGAATGAAACAAGCCAGACAAAGAAAGACAAAGACAGCGTGATCGTAATGAGATGTGGTGCCTAAAAACAGTTGAATTCACGGAAACCGAGTTGAGAGAAGTGATGCCCAGAGGTTGGAACAAGGGTGGAGGGAGGAGACGAAGCAAATGGCGAGACATTGGTTAAGTGATGCCCAGGTTCAATTAGACAAGAGAAATAAATCCAGAAGGTGAAAAAGAAAAGCCGCCAGGAGGCCCAAAGCCAAATGGTGAAAGGATATTAACAGATGATTGGGGGAGGATGGAGAATTAAGGTGTGCTTCATGGGGAGTCATCTGCAGCCACGGGTTCACTTTCAAGAACGGACAATGAGAAACCACCCCAGCACATCCAGTCTCCCGGACGCCAAGTCACTCCACTGGAGACGAACCTTCCCGCCACCTTGCTGCACAATCTTGAATGAGTTTGTGTGGCTACAAGAGCCTTATGCTTCTGGGTATGTGTGTGGCTGGTCCCTTTCTTGATTACATAGATGGTTGTACAGTACACGATCATACATCTAACCTTCAATACACTCCATGTTCACCTATATGAATATGTTGCTCAGGATCAAAAGCTGCATAGTATCCACGCTAATAGCACATTAACAGACCATTTTCCCTTGTATTTTTGCTACCATAAGTTATAGGATGAATGATAGTCTCTGAATCCCTCTGTTCAAATCACTAACTATATCGATAGAAAATATATTTTTGCCCATTTGAAATCTGTGAGTCATATGTGATTTATGTACTTAAACAAATCAGTAAACAGTAACCCTTTGATTAGAAAATGAAGGATATATTATAAAGTAAAATTGAATTAAAGAAGAAATAATGTTGTTCTGACCAGGAAAGTTCTATTTCACTGTGCTGGATTTAGCCAATAAATGGGAAGGCTGGTCTGGGGGAGGGGTAGCAGGGAGGGCTGTGTTCGCAATAAGACAGAAAATTGAAAGATGGGCACCAGGCCTGCTAGCTAGGGGCTGCAGGCATGAGACTTTTATAGGAACTCTGATAAAGGCCTTATCAGCAAGGCAGGCACTGAGACAGCTGTAATTTTAGGGTGGTCTGTTTTTCTGATACACATAGGCTGCTGTTCTCTGTAGATCATTGAATGCACTGGGCTCTGTAAATAGAAATAAAAGGATTTCATTAGAAAGCCATGACTCATCTTCTATTTTAGTTTTCTGCCCTGGGAATAGCTAATTCCACAGCTAATTGTTAGGATGATAGGGATACCGTGTATGGTGTGTCTGAATGAAGGCCTTCACTTTGTGTGATATATCTTAATAAAAATTAAAATCAAGTTATTGGGATAGAGAAAGTGTGCCTCCCCTGCCCCCCCCCCTCTCTCTCTCTCACACACACACCCCACTAGAAGAAAGAAAATGGTCATGTTTTCCCAGCACGGAGAAAGACAGAGAAAAGCTGCTTTTGCACGCCTTGGTTTCTGTGGTCTTGAGAAATGATCTATGATAGCTGTACTCATGGCTTGAATGGGTGAGTTTATTAAGTCTGTAGCAAGCAAAAGTCCAAGGACAAATAGCTAGACGGAAGAGGCAGAGAGCAGAGCATCATCAAACCAGTTTGCAACATCCGGCAGAGACCATCATCAAATCACGTTGACAACATCCGGCAGAGGAGTTGGGGTAAAAGAATGCCTCACTATATAGCCCACATGGCCTGAAAGAAACCTGAAGGGGAGAGATTAAGGAAACGTGGAGAATAGCACAAATGATCAGAGCTTCAGTGGTTCAACAACAGAAACACTGAAATGTATCCTGAAAGCACTGCAAACGACCCATGTGGTCATGGCAGTTTACCCAGAATCCGCTGGGCCATTTTTTTTGTTGTTTTTTTTTTTGTTTGTTTGTTTGTTTTTTTCGAGACAGGGTTTCTCTGTGGCTTTGGAGCCTGTCCTGGAACTAGCTCTGTAGACCAGGCTGGTCTCGAACTCACAGAGATCCACCTGCCTCTGCCTCCCGAGTGCTGGGATTAAAGGCGTGCGCCACCATCGCCCGGCCCGCTGGGCCATTTTACGTCTCTTGCACGCCGGATGGAGGACAGTGTGTGGCCTGAAGGCATGACCCAGGTCCATTCATAAAGCGAGAGAAAGACCAAAGCTGGATTCTTCTTCAGCAAGATTCTGCTCATAATTGACTCCAGGAATACCCACCTAAATAGCACTAAAGATGGTATTTTTGTGTACATAATAAAACAAATAAATTCTTCAATAATCAAGATGCCTCTTGACGTTTATCTGCCAGCGTTCTCAGTTCCAACGGCTGTCTTTGATTGACATTAGTTCTCTAGTGGCCTTTCCTTCATTTGATGCAGTGAAAGTAAAGAATGCCATCCCTGTATGGCTAGACTATGCTTGGCCAATGACAGATCTCCTTTTTGATGGATTGGAGCCATGTTCTGTTATCTTCTGTAGCCACGCTGTGGTACAGAGCACAGCACCGAGAAGAGGGTGAGCGCACAGACACTCTCTTCAGTACGGGCCTGGTTGTCATTACTGAGATTTCACAAAGGAGCGTGACGGTCGTGGACTGGGGTTTGCCACGGGATCACGAATGTTCAGGATACATCTCGATCATGGGAAGACCCAGGTTGGTGATGGACCTGACTTCCTCGTTTAATGTGAATGTTCTCCCCTTTTTTTGCCATCTAGGGTGTGCACTTAGCATCGTTTGCAGGTTCTGTTCACAGTGATGCTATTAGAAACAGAGATGGGAGGAGGTGAGAGCACCAGAGCTCTGGACGCCAAGAGAAAAGGCCCTTTCTCTTTGTTACCAGTGGTTTTCTGAAGAGCCCCCGCTGTCTGTCATGACATATGAAAAGTTCCTGGCAGAACCTTTGGACAGATTTTTCCTTTCTTTTCTCTTTAATGCATCTCTCAAACCAATAAAGGGAGAAGTGAATTTTCAAGGTATTTATGAAAACGGGGCTGTCATCTTTGACACAGGCAGGACGTCGACCTCGAAACGCAGTATGATTTATATTTTCCCCGTGACTCTCGTCAGATAGCAGCTATTGTTATTCATGAGCGTTAGGAGCCGCGGCTGTGAGATCTGAAATGAGGATCTAATCTCAGCCATTTATATTGAAATAATCACATTAGAAGGCTTATCATTTCATTCGCTTCCCCTCTCCGCATCACAGCTGGCACCAGGAATCCTTCACTCTGTTTTTCATGTCTCATGGTTTTGAAAACAGGGTATTAAGGAAGAATTATTAAAGACTGTCCTGGACTTATTACTCAGAAGCAGCCAGACTTCACATCTGAATACTGGTTGATATTTTTGTGCTGCGGGAAAAAAAAAAAAAATCTCTAAGTAAGAAATGCCAGCGGATACAAAATCGGCTTCCTTGATTTCTTCCAATACCTCTGGCAAGGACCTAGGTTATGTATTTGAGACTGAAGGTCATGCTAGGAGACAGGGGCAGTGACGTGTGCCTACTACACCAAGTTCTTGGAAGACTGACATGGGAAAACTCACTTGAATCCAGAAATTCAGCTTGGGCAATACGGTGAGACCCAATCTCAAAAGAGAACTTGATGGCAGGTGCCAGATGAGAGAATTCCCCCCACACACACACACTTCTCAACATCATCTGTCTTTCATGTTACTCTCTATCACGCTGTAAGGTTTGATTGACTTCAGCCTTTGGACTATGTGCTTAGGTCTCTACAATTAGGAATGAATGACCAAACGAGTCTGTTTGATTAAACTCTTCATTGGCGCTGTAGACTGACCTAACAGAAATGTCTTAGCAATAACTTGAGAGCAATAAAAAGATGCTACTTTCTTTATCAGTCACATTCGTGTGTTTAAAACCACATCGGACGGTATAGATTATCCTCTTTGTAGACACTGAAAAGGCATTGGCAGTCGTTGGGTTCACATGGTCAGAAATTGGTAAGACCCCTTGGAGAGGACATTGGACACAACACGCACACGCAAAGTGAAATGTGTATGTTAACCTAAAGATACCAACTGCTCTCTGTCCGCCTCAGTTTCTGGATGCTGGAGCTTGTGTTTCCCAGGGACAGGCCAGCTCATGTGATTGGATTGTGCTGATGTGTTGAGCCCCGTGGGCACTGCCCCAATAAACATTGCAGACACATTATATCTTTTCTCCCCCTGATGTGACTCTCCCCCTCTTCCATGTGAATCTGCTGAAGTCTTGTGTCTTGGTCATTTAATATAGTTTCTTTAGCTGTTATAGGACAAGCTAACTTGCATTTTTCCAGTAAGGCCAGCATGTAACAGAGGTTTTTCTCTTAACAGGCTGTGGAACTGGAAAGTACCTTAAAGTGAATAGCCAAGTCCATACCCTGGGCTGTGACTACTGCGGGCCTCTGGTGGAGATTGCCCGGAACAGAGGGGGTGAAGTCATGATATGTGACAACCTTAATCTCCCCTTTAGGGACCAGGGCTTCGATGCCATCATCTCCATAGGAGGTAAGGCAGCCAGGCCACCATCACACTTTGTCATGAAAAGCCACGGTCAGGCCAATCACGTGACTCAATGTCCACTCTTGGTAGAGGTCTATGCAATGCATTTCAGCTAATTTTAAAATAAATTCAACTGCATGACTTATTTGCCTCACATACATATGTGTGTGTGAGAATATTTAGATATATACTATATACACTATATATATATATATATAGTTTTAATTTTAAACCTTAAGGCTATTATTGCATTGTTTTTGATGATTTGTTCCCATTTCTCTTATTATGTGTATGAAAAATGTTAGGGCTCTCATTGAAAATATGCTTTGCTAGATTGAGATCAAGCCAGATTCTCCTGGCATACAGTTAGATTTTTCAGATGTCATGTTACTGAAACAAACAAGCAAAAACAGGTCACAACGGTGCCCTTTGTTAACAGAAAATTCTAGAGCAAATGTATTGAACAACCCCTGGACAGGTGTGTCACTCACTGGTACTCAAGTTCCTGGAAAAGACAGGTCCCAGACTGCGTTGTTTTATCCTATTTCTGTGTTCTTAAGTCTGGATGTTGTTAATGAGTCTAGATTCCTAGTAAACTCAATGCCAGAGCAAACAAAACAGCAGCAATAACAAAAACCCATGCCTGAAACATGCACATATATATGAGCTCACTTTACCCAGTACTCTTGCCGTCCAATGTGTTGGTTGTACTTAAATGTGGTGGGAGGGTCTCCTAGCCAGGCATGGTGCCATACACCTTTATTCTCAGCATTTGGGAGACAGAAGCAGGTGGATCTCTGGGAGTTTGAGTCCAGCCTGTTGTAATTAGTGAGTTCTAGGACATCCAAGGCTACATAGTTAAGACCTTGTCTCAATAAACAAACAAATAACAAAAATAAAGGAATCTTCTGCTAAGTTCTTTACAGCTCTCAAATCTTTCGCAGAGCAAATTAGTTGATTCAACACATTTCTTTAGTTAGCTTTTTGACGAAACAAATTTTACCAAAGCTAGGTGATCTCATGGAAGCAGACTATCATTCATGATGTCACCTAGTGGGTAACAGGAATGATCTAGCTCGGAATGCCAGTGACACTTCTGCTAAGCCCATAAGTTCTGAGTGCTTTGTAAGACCTAAGCACTTGCAAAGTTAAAGAGCAGTAAGTCATAAAATAGAAGATGTGGCAGGGTGTTAAAGGAAATCGCTGTCATCATTTGGTTCTATAATCCAAAAGTTGGATTCAAGTTGGTGGGGTTTTTTTTTTGAGCCTCTCTGACAGAAAAATTGCTTCTAAGTACTTATATGGTGTATATATATGGAGTGTGTATATGGAGTGTATATGTGGGATTTATATATGGGTGTGTGTATATATATATGTGGAGAGTATATGTGGAATGAATATATGGGGTGAATATATTGGTGCATACATGTGGTACATATATGGGGTATGTGTATGGGGTATGTGTATTGGGTGCATATATGGGTGTGTGTATATATATATGTGGAGAGTATATGTGGAATGAATATATGGGGTGAATATATTGGTGCATACATGTGGTACATATATGGGGTATGTGTATGGGGTATGTGTATTGGGTGCATATATGGGTGTGTGTATATATATATATGGAGTGAATGTATTGAATTCTATTTTTGCATTTAAGTTGTGATTACAATTCACAAAAAATATTATTTTAATTTTTCAAATTTCAGCATAGCTTCTCGGCAGTGACATTCTAGGCAGATCTCACCATAGTGATACTCACAGTGCTTCCTAACAGAGCATGTATGTGTGTGTAAACATAGCAAATTTGACATGTGTGAGGAAATCCTCCTTAAACTTCTTTTTCCTCCAAAACATTTGGCTTGGGGCTGGAGAGATGGTTCAGCAGTTAAGAGCACTGTTACTCTTGCAGAGGACCCAGGTTCCGTTCCCAGAAACCAGTTTGGGCAGGTCACACTGCCTACTCCAGTCCTAGAGGATCTAATACGTGTTTATAGGCATCTGTAAACACCTGGTAGTGGCTCGCACAGATACAGATGCACAAATGAAAATTAAAAAAAAAACACTTGATTTAAAAGCTGTTACCCATACTCAGTTAAATATAAGTTTAAAACATGGAGTCATTTTTCTGCATAAAATTATAACTAAAATGAATTGTTCTGTATTTATCAATAAATGAAAGAAGACTTTGTTTCGCACATAATACCAACACCCTTTAAAGCCGAGTAGAATCCTGGAACATTAGTCTATTACAATATTGAGTGAAACAGTCCTGTTTTAATGTTCCCCTGTCCCCTATTTGGGCTTTACACGATCCGAGCAGTGAGATATCACGATCCCCAGAAACTGTGTCCTATAGTCTGTGAGCATAGCAGCTCACAACTGTCTGTTACTCCAGTTCCAAGGGATTCAGCGCTCCCTTCTGGCCACTGCACAAATGTGGTGGCTGTACATAACATGCAGACAAACACGCAAAAGCATGCCCAAGTGCGCGCGCGCGCACACACACAAAATTGAAAAATAGAAAAAAATACAAATTTGCGTGATCTCCCTTTGAAAGCTATTTATGTCTCTACCAGACTTTCTCTTTCCATATTCCATGCACCCCGTGGCAGGTAAACCCCAGAGGTCACCAGCTTAAAATTGCCGCTAAGAGCTAAATGGTGCAATCACAAGGAGGACAGTTTCAGCTGCTCCGCCCGCAGCAGAGAGGGAGTCTCTCAGCTTTGCTTGGAACCAATCTCCTTCCTGATCTATGTAACAGGTCCTGTTTCAAAGACTAAGGATGTTTCCTCTTGACACAGTGCTCCAGTTAAACCCCCAATAGGATCTAATAGACTAGCACTGGTGAAAATATACGTAATAAAACCAGGGGTGCAGCTCAGTGGTAGAGTGTTGGCCTGTCACGCTGTCTCCTGGGTTCACCTAGTACAGCACACTAATTATTACTGCTAATACTATGCACCCACAATAACACACACCCATGTAAGTGAGAGGTGGATTCTATTTAGAAAATGCTCGACCCTCCCTTCAACTTTGCAGGACTTAGAAGTAAAACAGTAACTTGTAAATTGGTTTTTTAAGCACACACAATTATTATATTATCTTTAAGAAATGCTAAGTAAGCATTTGCACTTGTGTTTAGCTGGCTTCTCTTTGCATTACCTAACTGAAAAAGTCATGTTTAACCCTTTGCTCCACCATATTTGTTTCATGAATATTACTAACACCAGTGACTTATTGCTGCTCATTTTTTGTTTCTATGGAAATAGCAGTTGTCCAGTAAAGCAACAAATGATCTCATAGACTCCACCAGAGAACACTGCCTCATTTAATGCCCCTTTCATGTTTCAGTAATTTACATGGATTATCCCTGTTCATCCAGTTATCAAATTCCACAGGCTTTGGAGCTAAAGAGAGATTTGACAATATCTCTAGGTTTCTTGTTGGAACTGAAGAGACTATTCAATTCTATAAAATTTACCCAAGCCAAAAACTGTGTCTCTCTGAAAGCCAGACCATCCTAGTGAGGGTTTCTGTTGCTTCAACAAAACATCGTGACCAAAGAGCAAGTTGGGGAGGAAAGGGTTTATTCGGCTTACACTCAGCACCTCTCTTCATCAGTGAAGGAAGTCAGGGCAGAAACTCAAAACAGAGCAGGATCCCAGAAGCAGGAGCTGATGCAGAGGCCTGGAAGGGTACTGCTTACAGACTTGCTCCCCCTGACTTGCTCAGGCCACCTTATAGAACCCAGGACCAACAGCCCAGAGATGGCACCACCCACCATGGTCTGGGCCCTCCCCCATTAATCACTAAATGAGAAAATGCCTTACAGCTGGATCTAATGGAGGCATTTCCTTGGCTGATGCGCCATCCTCTGATGATTCTAGCTTGTGTCAAGTTGACCCACAAAACCAGCCAGTACACAAACCCATGAGATAAGGCTCACTCTAGGTCAGAATTCCACCACTGTTCTGTGGAAACACATCAAGATGTATGTGCTTACACATACAATGTGTGCACAGTGAGATCTAAGTTTTCTTTTGTTCCGGTTTTCTTTTTCAGTCATTCATCATTTTTCTACAAAACAAAGAAGAATTAGAGCCATAAAGGAAATGGCCAGGGTCTTAGCTCCTGGAGGCCAACTGATGATTTACGTTTGGGCAATGGAACAGAAGAACCGACACTTCGAGAAGCAGGATGTGCTTGTGCCGTGGAACAATGCACTCTGCTCCCGGCTGCTCTCAGAATCCCACCAGTCCTGGGGGCATCAGTGTGGGCATCCCATGAGCCAAGGCTATGAGGGTCCTGGCTCTGCATGTGGCTGTGCAGTATGTTTGAAGGGCAGGTGCGATTCCAAGAGGTCCCACAGCATGGACTATGGGCCTGCGGTGACCAGAACCTGCTGTGAAGATATTCCGAAGGATGGTGAGGAAGAGAATGGATTGTATAACAATTTTGGAAAATCTCTTCGCTCCTGGTTTTTTTCCAGGTCTTTGGATGAATCAACCCTGAAGAAGCAAACTGAAAGAACAGGACCTATGAAAATCACAGAGAGTTGGGCCAATAACACTGTGTCCCGTCAGCCTTCCAGACAGCCCAGTTTAGACTTCCATCCCCAGGACCCATTGTCAACCAAAGGACCAAACTTAGATGAGGTATTCGTAGACACATGTTCTCAAAGACACTTGCGCTGCCTGGGACAAGCGGGCACTTCGGAGACCTTCAGTGGACACCAGGGAGGAGACAGCAGGAGGAAGGAGGGTGCCGATTTTCTGGACATCACTGACACCAGAGACAGTCGGGCTGCAGGTAACGTCAGTGATCCTTCTGCCAGGAAATTATTAAGGAGAGTTTCTGCATTCGACTCTACAGATTCCCAATCAGAAGACCCAAGTTACGCAGAGGAGCAGGAGGCAGCTCCGGACTCCAGAGCCTTCATGCGCTACTACCACGTGTTCCGGGAAGGCGAGCTGTCCGGACTTCTGCAAGAGAGTGTGTCTGAGCTGCAGGTTCTGAGTGCTGGCAATGATCATGGCAACTGGTGTATCATCGCAGAGAAAAGGGGGAGCTAGGATTAATTGCATCGCTCGGGGCAGGGGCTTCAGAGGTTGACCATCATCTGTCCACTGGAGCTGATGTGGGCACTCAAATCAGCATCCTGTTTCATTGTTTTCAAATCCAGGTAAGAGACGGTCTTTCGGCACTTTGACCTGATCCTCTGAATCGTTGAGTAAGCACAGAACCTGGAGCTTACTGCATCCACCACAGGATACGCCTGCTCAAATGTCAGTAAAAGGACTTGAGGGAGCAATAGAAAATGCACTTCAGTAAGGCTTGATTTGATTTCTCCCGGAGATGAATATATTATAACACATGTATGTCCGATGTCAGTATTACCTTTTGGTTTTTAAATAGTCTGCTGTTAAATATACCTTTTAGAAGCAGTATTTTTATATAGATAAATTATATTGGTTCTCAGGTGGTTCCTTAGATCTTTGTGGACGGTAACAAGGACCCCTGCTCAGCTGCTGGGTATGTATTCTTTGAGGCTTGCTGCCGGGGTATCTTGCTTCCAGGCTTTGCTTCTACCTACTTCAAGCCTTCAAGAGAAGCTGGTGTGCTGCAGAGGAACAGAAGTATTGCCCAGGCTTTCCAAATCACATGCAAGCATCCTTCTGGACGATCGCCGTAAACAATACTGTCTTTAGTGTTGCTCCAAAGGCCTTTTAAAGGCGCTGTTGGCAGAGGGTGTGGTTTAGTGTTAGTGCAGGCAGCTAGCATGCCCAACAATCAGCATGCATGCAGAAGAAAAAGAAAAACACTGCTAGCATGCAGAACAACACAGGGGTGGGAGACAGCCTAAGGCATTAGAAGCATAAATACCCTACTGAGCTAGTGCTGAAACTAACCAAAGAGTTTTTGACTAGGAAATGCTTGTCTGAGATATCTGAGAGTCTAATTAGACCAGTTTTTCTGGGAAGAGCTCTGGAAAGCATTGTGTATTCAGCCTTGGTGGACACATAGCTGGAATTTGCTATTGCAACCAGGCATTTATACTCTTGAAGGTGACCACATTAGGTTTATTTTATCAATGACCTAGACAGAATCAACTTAGAGGCTGAATTTCTGGCACTCTATAGAGCAATGATTAAGACCGGGCATTGTAAAATTGCTGTTTCTGTTTGGATTTAACCAAGGGTTTGTTTAGTTCTGTGTCATGGATCCCAAGAAACAATTTTTATGACATAAGTAGAGACTGGACTTGGGAGAAACAAAAATAAGTCGGCCAAGGAATGTGGTTCCAGATCATCCTTTAATAGGCAGAAAATCAAATAGTCATTGTACTTTCTGGACCAATATAATGATGGGGATTGAATTAAAATCCAATCTTCATTTTATTATTTTCCACTCCAAAATTAACAGAAATTATAATAGATCACATTCATTTGGTCTTTACCCTCTTTAGTGATTTTGCCAGAACTTAACAGAATGAAGCTACTTTTGAGGAAAATTCAAGGATAATTTTAGAATGGCTTTGGGAAATCCCCAAGGCTCTTCGCTCGAAAGCCAGCTCACCTCACCCCCATTGAGGAAGTCGTCCATGCGATTTGCACTTCTCAATGTAGAGGGAGCCATGACAATAGACATAGAGTGAAGGGGAAATTAAAATTTAAGGGAGTGTGCCTTTCATTTTTTCAAATTACCACATTAAACTGCAAATAAAGGTGGCTTCGTAGGAGAAATGGCAACTCTGAGATGTCGGTGACCCCTTCATTGTGTTTTCCTGCCTCTGAGATCTGTTGTCACCCCTTTCATTTGGCTTTGCTGCTAGACCTCCGAGCTTGACGTCACCCTCTCTGGCTGTAACTTGCTACCGTAAAGGTCATTATAGGGAACCCAGTTCACTAGGTTGTGAAGGATGGCTTGCCAGCTGATGTGTCTAAGCAAGCTCATAAAATAAACATATGCCCCCACTTTGTAATAAAAGGCCTTCAGAAGAGTTATTGGGAGAGAGAGAGATTTTTTTCATACAGCCATGACAGAGCTGTGAACACTAGTAACAGCAATTGTGGGCTCATTGTAGAGCAGAAGAGGTCTATGAATCCAGATGTTACAGTGTATATTTGGCAAAACTAGTGAACAGGTAACCATTCTTCGGGGAAGTCTTGCCAGAAGCACTCTTTCATTCAATGTTTGCCTTTCGTGATAAAACGCCATTGAAAACTAATGTAAATATCCTCATCATTCTAAAGCTCGCTCAGAGAGAAACTCAAGTCCTAAGTGAGCATCAATGGGGACAGAGTGTGTCCATCAGCCTTCGCCAGCTTGTGTGTAGATTTCCCTGATCTACCTGACGCTCTCTGAAAACCTCCACTGCTCATAGACAAAATGTTTTTTTACTAGTTCCTTCCTGCCATCACCGCGTGTCTGTCTGACATGGAAGGGCAAGTTCAGGGAAGTGGTTAGAGAATCCTTAGAGGTAGGGCCAGTGGTGCCTCGCTGGCTTGTGTGGAGAACTTCCTGTAAATAAACAAATGCTTTGATATAAACAAAAGATGCAATGCAGATAATATTTTCCTGGCTGCCGAGTGAATGGTTAGCTTCTCTGGGTTATTAGGCTTCAGAGGTTTTGTTGTTGTTGTTGTTGTTGTTGTATTGCTTGCTTTGTTTTGTTTACTTATCGGCAGAGTGATGCGATTTGACCAGTGCGCTCTGGTGACTTCAGACTAGCTGCACACAACACTGACTGTCATACAGATTTGATCCTCCCCTCTTACCTTACGGCCCCGTACAGTCCCATCACTCTTTCCCATTCCCAGTTGTCCTTTCTCCTCTGTCCCAATTCTAGAAAACAAAGCTACTGTTTGTGTAACTGACCTTCTTCTGAGTCGGTAAAAATCGACAGTGATCCAGACAGGAAATTATCCAAATGTAAATCGGGCATTGAATGTCCTTGTGTGCTATTCGCCACCAAACAAATGAACACGGGTGGGCCTTTCAAATCTGTGGGCTGCCAGGAGAACAGAGAATGGAACTCTGGTTGTTCTTGGCATGGGAGAAATGCCTTAAAAATGAACGGTGAGAGGCTGGAGGGGTGGCTTGGTGACTGGGAGTGCTTACTGTTCCAGCAGAGGACCTGAGATTGTTTCCTAGTACCCATTGGGCAGCTCATAGATGCCTCTCTGCAGAAATCCAAGGGCACCCACACTCACGTGTGCACAGACATGCAGACAAATACACACAAACACAGAAAGAAACAGGCAGACAGATTAAAGCATAAAAATGAATCTCTTTTTTAAAAACTGGGTTACAAAGACCCAGTTTGGGAGAGAGAAGGAAACTGGAGTGGCTGTTGGCTCTACAGCTAGACAATGAAGAACAAATGAAGACAAGCATCCCTTTCCCTGGACATGAAAAAAAGGGAAACAATAATAGCAGCTAATTGTAGTAGCCAGTGTTTATTATTTTGTTTGCAATCCTCTCTACAGCTCTCTCAGACAATCATACTTATGTTATCATTTTGCAGATAAAATCTAAGGCAGGCAAAGAAATTGTGCTAAATCATCAGAGTCTACACACAAGCACTAAGTATCACACATCTGGTCGAGGGCAGAGCTAAGTTTCAATCCCGGATGTTCTGGCTGCAGCCTGGGTTTCTAACCAATGTTCTCTGCGTGCCTACCTGGTGGATCCCGGGCTCTGTGCTAAGCAAGGAACAGTGTTCAAGGTTAACTACGATTGCCCCTGTACAAAGGCATCAAGCGGGTTAAGAAAAGCATCTCTCTCCCCTCTGTTTTCTTTTTAACCTTTTAGATGTATTTATTTGTGTTTGTGTGTCTATGTCTTCCTGTACATGTGTGTGGGTGTGATGAAGCCAGAAGACAACTTGCCAAGAGTTGGTTCCTTTCTCCAAGACTTTCCTGGTTGGTGGCAAGCATCCATACTCCCTGAGCCCTCTTTCCGGCTCTGTGTTTTCTTTCTTTCGCTTCTAAATGTATCTCAATTTTACTTGAAAAGAAGTCCTTGATTGCAGGACACTCCGATCTCTTCTCTACAACTCTCTAACCTTCTGAAAATGTCTATCCCTTTTCCTGTTTTATGAGTGAGGAGCATGAGGACTCACCCAGGGATTTCATTTACTCCCTTGTTCAGAGTCCCACAGTGCCCCAGATACAAATGAGAGGCCATGACACATCTGGGGTCTTGAGCTGCACATAATATTAGACTTAATGACCTGAAACTCAAGTGCTCTCCTGGAACGCTTTTTGCATTTGCTGTATGCCTATGATCCTATTATATTTTTAGTTTAGTGAAACACAGTATTCAGACCCCTATTCTGGGTTGGGGGTGGGGTGGCAAGGATCGCACCTGCATGTTAACATGGAGAACGTCTGTCTTAAACACTAAGACTTCATTTGACTGAGCTCACCAAAGGCCAATGATCACTCTCTAACACAATTGCTCTGTAAGTGTGATTTCCGAAAAGCATGTGTCCTCTAGGATATGATATGAACTCATTTGGAAGGCATGCAGGCCCCTAAGTAAGCCACCCATGCTATTTTTCAAACTCATTTCCTGCAATTGCACCGTTTTCTGTTCTGTAATCTGCTATTTTAAACAATGGTTCCATAAAATTACATAATGACAAGTAATTATCCCACCCCTTGAAGGAATCCAGTATATTCAGACTTGAAATACTGTAGCTATATGCTTTCCTCAAAGACAGATACCCAAACAGGCTCATTCCGAATGCTTGCCATCTGGTAAAGGACAGTCCTTGGGATTGCAAGGGAATCAGGGGCCCTGCTTGGTTATTCAAGTCCTCTGGTCCATCTTAGCTCAGATACCAGAACTTGTTTTGATATTATGAACTCCGTCCTCACACCCTCAGTTATGTACAGAACTGGGGTAAGACCTAAAAATAGCTTTCATGATAGCCAGGTATGGTGACACACACCTCAACTTCCAGCATTCGGGAGTCAGAAATAGGCAGATCACTGAGTTTGAGGCCAGCCTGGTCTACACAAGATCCAGGACAGCCAGGGCTGCACAGAGAGAGCCCTTGTCTTGGTTGGGGTGGGGTGACTCATCAACAAAGTACTGAACTCAGCACAAAGAGCATTCTGCAGGAGACACACAGAAATCTAGGAGAACAATCAAGCAGAAAATGCAGACTATGAAGGGTATAATATTCTTGTTTTGTTGCTTTGGTTTAGACATGGCCTCATGCATCTTAGGCTGGTCTCTCACTTGCTGTATACTTGAGGATAACCTTGACCATCTTATCCTCATGATTCAATTCATGTTGGACAAGGACCTGATCATAGCAGGCAAACACTCTACCCACTCGGCTGCTTCTCCAGTCCTAAGGTGTATAGTGTGTTGTTCGCCCTGAGACCTACAATGTACCGCAGTAGAAAGAGTGTTTCATGGCAGTGTTACCCCACAGACTGTCCCTTCTCTACGATGGTTCTCCTTCAGTTGATCAAAAACATACAGTGGATCACTTTATATCATCAGTGGCTAATCTGACAATAAATGGCTTACTTATGAAAGCTGATATACAATTGGGTGCCCAGCTGGCAAATACATGCTTTG